ATGTTTGTGCGGATAGTTGGGGGCTGGAACCTGAGACCGACCAGGGCTGAGAAGTCGGGGCAGAGTCCAGCACTGGAGCATGTTACGGAAAGACAAGGCTTGGAGGTACTTACAATCTGAAAGTCATGAACTTCAACAGCCTCTTCACTCCCGCTTCCTGTTTTGAATGTCTCCAAGTTGTTTCCAGCATCTATTTCCATCGATCCATCTTGTACTTTGCCGTTAATGCTCATGGTGTAGTGAACATTGTACACCTGGAATCGACAAAAGAGCAGTAGTACATGTCAGTAATTGCTCGTTGCCTTCCTCCTACACCAGGCGATTGGTCAGTCTGACCGCCCTATCCTTTCTTGGCTCCTAACTTTTATTTCTGTAGGCATTTGATAACCTTCCAACAACCAACACTGCCCTGCTGTGACACTTCACCATCAGGGCAGGCCAACAGCGGAGCAGGATGCCCAGAGAGGTTGTGCAGGCTCCATCCTTGGAATTTTTCAAGGCCCAACTGGATAAAGCCCTGAGCTCTGACCCCACGGCTGTCCCTGCTCTGAGCATCAGGTAGGACCACAGACCTCCAGAGGTGCCTCCTCCAGGGACTACTAGCAGTTTTACTTCAAAAACAATGTGGTGTGAGTCCACATCCAGGCTCACCCCAACTTAAGAACCTTCTTCCAGGTCGTATTTTAGGAATCGCTTCTTACGCTGGCATGATTCCCAAAGGAGAGCAGGAGTGAGCACCCTACTCCGAAGGAGGCCAACCTCTATTTACCTCTCAGGATGTTCTGCTGAGGTGCAGGAAAATGGGTTCCTCTTGAATATGAACATGTTTCCCAGCTCGTAATGGATGTGAACTTTGTTTAAATTGGATGTGAAGTTGTATAGACTCGTATTTTCCTTGTCAGCGTATTTGCTCTTATCCTATTTTCAATGAGGGAAGCTGCGGCGTGGTTTGTATTTGCTGGAGGACTACAATCTGCGGAGGGGGTTTTTGATGCTCTTGCGCAGCTCTGCCAAAAGTGCTGCACAAGCAGTTTACTTTTGGCCTTGAAAAAGCTTTACAGAATTTAATGAAAAATTTACTCCGACAGCTGGAGACAAATTTCTTCTTCTCTGACCTTTGCTCGGGAAAGTCTAAGGTGCTAAAGATTTATGGCTCCTCAGTTATACAGATCCCGTCCCATATTCTCCACTGTCTAGGATTCCTGTTGAATGTGGTCCAGAAAACCAGACCAAAGCACGCTGTGTTCCCTGCTAGGGGCTGAGCTACAGCTGAGACTGCTACCCCTGTCAGTTAGGGAAGAATTTAAAGACTTAAAATAATATAATGTAATTTTTACAGTTGCTCCCTAAACATTTGGAAGTCAGATGTAGCTTTCTGTGTTTGAAGGCGGCTTGGAAAAATAACTCTAAGCTTTCCCAGTGTCTTCACCTGGAGATCAACCCCAAAGCTTAACGACAACTGCGAACGCGACACATTTTGCAAAGCAGAATTTAGATGATGGGAGCAATAAAAAAAGGAAAAGTTTGTCCCGTACTCCGTGCATGCACCCGCCCGGTCAGAGCCACACGCGCCGTACCCCCTCCCTGCCTCCGTACCCAGTCGCGACCCTCTCCCTTTTCAAAAGCCTGCAGAAGCAGACAGCTCTTGCAGGTCTGCAACGCGCCCTGTCTTTTTTGGTGTAAAACCTGGCACTTTCTTTCTGACGACCTGCATTACTCCTACGTGCACGGGTGTATCTTGCGGGGGGAACTCGGCGCTGGCTGCTGGGATTTGCACAAGGCTCTCCTTGACGGGGACCGGCGCGTGGCTGGGGGCGGCACGAAACTCCGTCCAAAGTAAATTCACAGATGCTAATTGCGCTTACGGACAGAGTCATGTTCACATGTGCACCGTCGTGTTACAGGGTATGTTTTACACCAAAATCTTACGTAAACAGAAAGAAAAGTTAATGTATTAACGTGTTCTGATGCTCTGAGGTTTGGTTCTTAACCTGGCTGTCAGCTTCTCGGTTTTGTTCTTTGCGTACTGGATTCTTCACGTACCCCAGAAAATGTAAATGGTGCAACTTACCTGGCTTTACAAATCATTCCACAGCTGCCTTATAAATGCTTAAAAATACCTGAAGGGTGGGTGTCAGGAGGATGGGGCCAGACTCTTTTCAGTGGTGCCCAGCGACAGGACAAGGGGCAACAGGCACAAACTGAAGCACAGGAAGTTCCGTCTGAACATGAGGAAGAACTTC